TTTCATGTAAAAATACTGATATGTAAACACAAACTCCCTTATCATTTCCTAGAAATATATATCAAAATAGCTATAGTCGTGCCCATCGTTTTAAAACATTTAAGCCAGGGCTGGGAGATGCTTGGTGGTTAAAGCACTAGCTGTATAAGCATACAGACAGGAATTTGGATCCACATAAATTCCAGGTAGGCACAGTGTCCCATGTGATTCCAGCAGTAGAAGGCAGAGAGGAGATCCCAAGAGCAAGCTAGCTCTCTAGACCAGATGCATAGGTAAGTGAGGGTTCAAGCGAGAGATCCCGCTGAAATGAATAAGGTGGAGAAAGATCAACGACTCCTAAAGTCAACTGGGGCCTCAACTCCCACACACATCCATACACACACAAGCACAGAGTGTCTGCAGGCACATGTTAACGCACACACAGGAAAACGTACCCACCACACACACACACACGAGGAAAAAGAGAAGAAAAAGACTTGAGCCAAAAAGAAAAAAAATTCTGAAATGCAGAACTGTGAAAAGACCAGGATGTTGGCTAGCAAGAAGCCTGGGATCAGGCAAGCTCCGGAGGCTCAGGGATGAGCAAAGAGCTGTGGGATACAGGAGCTAACACACTAAGAAAAGCTAAAGATGTCCGACAAAATTACAGCAGCTCAGTTACAGGTTAGATGGGGTTTTATCTGTAATTCAAGAATCTGGGCCGAATCTACCCTACACAATAGAATGAGAGTTCCCACTGAGCAATGACAGAATAATAGGTTTTCCAAGGTAGGAACAGGAAACAGAATAGGAAAAAAAAAAAAAAAAAAGCAAGGAGGGGGCCCCATATCGAAGGGTTTGGAGAAAAAAAAGGGAGTAAATGATGTAATTATATTATAATCTCAAAAAATAAAAGAAATATTTTTTAAAGCTGACTAGCTTTAACATAAGATATGGGAAAAATGTGTTGTTGTTTGTCATTTGTTAAGGGGGCTGGCAAGAGTTAAATGGGACTACTTCATTATCTGCTCTGGGGGAAAATAAAATCTCTTTTCAAAATAATTCTTCTATGAGGAGGATTTACTTCTTCCTCTAAGTTTCAGTTAGATTGCACAATTTTACATGTGACTCAGTTTCAGTTTAATCAGTCAGGGGCTAGCATAGGAGCCCAGTTCCAGTAACATCTCTGTTCCCTCCTTCCACAGAAATGACAATTACTGTGAAGTTTACAAAGAATGTTTAACACCAAGAACTTAGAAAAAGAGATAAGCTCACACAAAGTATCTCAAGATGAAATATGGTGCTATAGACTAGATGTTTCTGTCCATAAAGATTCACATGTGAAAAAAGGAAAGAAATTACATCTATCTGTGACCAAATTTCCAAATTTGTTGATACTTTGATCTTGAACTTTCCCAGCCTCAATTATGAGAAAAAAAAATGTTTTCTGCTTAACCTGCCCACTGTGTAGTAGCAACAACAATCTCAATAAAGTTATTAGAAGTCATAAATATGTGAACACAGACCTTATATTGGTTACTTTCCTGTCGTTCTACTAAAACATCAAGGCCAAGATAGCTTACAAAAGAGTTTAACTGGGCTTATGGTTCCAGGGTTTTAGAGTCCAAAGGACAAAGTGAAGGCAAGGCAGCAGGAGCAGCTGAGAGCTCACACCTCAAACCTCCCACAGGGGGCAGAAAGTGCAAAGAGGATGACTGGAGACTTCTGAAACTTCAGAGTCCTCCCCTGTGACACACCTCCTCCACCAAGGCCACCCACTCCAAATCCTTCCAAAACAGTTCCACCAACTTGGGACCGTGATTCAAACATATGAGCCTATAGGAGTCATTCATTCAAACCACCACAGACCTGCAACACATATTAAAATATGCAGAGACCTTAGTGGGATTCTTTTTCTCCAGCCTCCATTACTGATGCAATCTGAACCTGAACATTCTTATAAATAAACACATCAGGACAATAAACATGGTTTCTTTCAAGATAAAAGACAACGGTTGAGGAAAAACTGGACTTCTTGGCTTTGCAAGGTCCATTCTATTTCAGAAGTTGTTCGTGCCATAGGAAACCCAACGGTAAAAGAAATGGTTCCTTGAAGAGAAGCTGCCTCTGGTTCTGCTCAGATAACTTTTTCCCACCAAATTTTGTGATGAAACACTGACCAAAAGCAACTTGGGGGAAAAGGGTTTCCTGCAACCACCCTTCCACATCATAGTTTATCATTAATGGAATCCAAGGCAAACACTAAAACAAAAACCATACAACGATGATGCTTACTGGTTTGTTCAGCTGGCTTTTATATACAGCCTAGACCTGTCTACCCAGGATTGGTACCAGCCATATCAGTCAGTGTGCTGGATAGTTTTGTGTCAACTTGACACAAACTAGAATCGTTAGAGGGGAGATGTCTCCTCTGAGAAAATGTCTCCATAAGATCAGGCTGTAGGCAAACATGTAGGGCATTTTCTTAATTAGTGATTGGTGGGGATAGCCCAGCCCATTGTGGATGGTGCCATCCCTGAGCTGGTGGTCCTGGGTTCTCTAAGAAAGCAGGCTGAGCAAACCACTAGAAGCAAGCCAGTAAGCAACACTCCTCCATAGCCTCTGTATCAGCTCCTGTCTCCAGGTTCCTGTTCTATTTGAACTCCTGTCCTGACTTTCTTCAATGAACAGTGATGTGGAAGCATAAATAAACCCATTAGCCCCCTGTTGCTTTGGTCATGGTGTTTCATTACAGCAATAGTGACCTGAACTAAGACAACCAGCAATAGGAGCGGTGCATGCCTTTAACAGCGTGGTGCAAGCACTCAGGAGATCCTCTCTTCCCAGGTGACTCTAGTTTGTGTGAAACTGATGAAAACTAACCAGCACAATGGCACTATAAATGCAGCTCTGCCTACCCTATTAGAAAAGCCCTCCAACCCCAGAGTACATCTTTTAACAATTACTCACCAGATCACCGTTACCATTAGTAATTACAAAGTTTCATTTCATGCTACAGTGGTTAATAAAAGGCATTAATTGTGTCCCACTCATTTCTCAATTTCCACAGCCTAACAAAGTATCTCACCTAAAACTGTTATCTTAAATTCCCATGACAGATTTATTAGAACAGTCCCCATTAAATCAGTTCCAGCCTGTAGTGCTCATTTTTAAAACTCTACTTTATTTGGAGTGTTTAGGCCTCAACCTCCCAACCTACATAGGAGAGAGAAAGTTAGTGGGGAGACAGGACCCCATTACTTCTCCCAGCTATTTAGGGTCAATGAATTCTTTTAGGGCTCTATATAAATCTCCATCAAAAGCAGACACAGCTAGCAGTCTCCATGAAGCCACTGTGCCCCAAAGCATTTCTTTCCATCTGTCTGCTCCAAACCCCCACACCATCCATTTCTCTGGCCTCTCCACACTGCTACTCGCCACACGCCACCACCAAGCCACCACCTCTCTTTCTGGGCCCTCAAATTTATATCCTTAGATCCCTAGACCATGCCCCTCTCTGTTCCTCACAAGGCAGGCTGTTACCAGCCAGCAAAAGCTATGCCCCACACAAGACAATGAACAGGTGTGGAGAAACTATAGCCCAACAAAAAATCCCACACTTGGGATTAAAACAAAAACGTATTTATACAACATAACTGAGAAACCAAAACTTCCATTATACCAGTCCTTCACTCTTCACCTGGAAATCCTATAATCTCACCCTCAACCATCAAGTAAAAGTGAGTGCGTGCTATCTCAACCTAGAGTGTGGTGCTTGCACTTACAGTTGTTCAGTAGGAAATACTACAAAGTAACAGAAAACCAAGTGGAAACAGAAAGAACCAGGAATGAACTAAGTGTGGATAGCATTCCAGTATAAAAGGGACAGTGCTCAAGAACAAAACAAAAGCGTCAAATGAGTAAAGTGGTTCAAGGAGTTAGTCATAGTCTACTGAAACCTAAATGCTTTTGGACCCTGTAGTGGCTAGTTTTACGTCAACTTGAGACAAGCTCGAGTCATAAAGTTAGGAAGGAGCCCCAATTGAAAAAATGCTTCCCTAAGATCAGGCTGCAGGCATCCTGTGGGGCATTTTCTTAGTGATTGATGGGGAAGGGCCCAGCCCATTGTGGGTGGTACCATCGCTGGGCCAGCAGTCCTGGGTCCTACAGGAAAGCAGCATTCCTCCATGGCCTCTGCACCAGTTCATGCCCTTTGGGTTCCTGCCTATACTGAGTCCCTTCAACGATGGACTACAATGTGGAAGTGTGAGCCAAGTAAACCCTTTCCGACCCAATTTCCTTTCGGTCATGGTGTTTCTTTGCAGAAATACAAATCCTCACTAAGACAACCCGAAGGCATTATATTTCTTTCTCCAAATAGTACATTTTCCGAAAACAAAACTGAATCCACGTAGAATTCATTTACTAGTTACATAAAATTCTGAAGTTAGTTCATTGGTCTGTTCCAAAGCAGAAAATTCTGAAGTTAGACCAACAACATATTCATTGGTTTGTTCCAAAGCATGACGCCTTTTTGTATATCCACACAAAACAAATGGAGACTACGGCAACTCTCTTATCAACTTTGATTTTTAATGAAAGCTCCTGGAGTTGCTTTAGCTGCTAACATTCTGCCTGAAACAACCAGTGTCTCCCAACCTCCCTTGGAACGAGTTAGCCATAGCTTTATCAAGACGTTTTAAAGCGCATCCAGCTTCCAAAAAGAGATTAGTTAAAAAAAAAAAAAAAACAAAAAAAAAAAAGTCAATGTTCTCGAAAAGCAGAGAAAAGCTAGACCCGTGTACTACAAACTCCTACAAGGAGTGCGCAGACAAATCTGACTTTACTTTGGGAAAGTCTCAGTGACGCGAACCACAAGACACTCCTCCCTCAACGACACTGTGGCATCCACATGCTCCTGGCACTAACAAGGGACCGGCCGGCTGGGTCTGAGCCGGGTTACGTGCCGCACCCTGGTCTGGACCCAATAAGAAAAAGAAGAACCCTCGGGCCGAGCTCACCGGTCTCTGGGTCCGGAGAGCGCTCAGGTGTGCCTGCCTTGTCGCCTAGCAACGGCGAAGCTGTCCGTCCTTCCGGACGCGTCAATTCCTCCCGCTTCTGACCGAGTGGGTTTTTAAAAGGTTTTGTTTCCGGGTCGAGAGAGCTGCACGCAGCGGAAGGGCTCTCAGTCTCGGGTAGACTTGGGCGAGGATAACGTCTTGGTGGAAAGGCGGGTGTCGTCGCTCGGGGCTGTTTCTCCTCCCTCTAGTTAACGCCTCCCCTCCCGCCAATTGCCGAGCGCCATCAGGCAAGCGGCTCAATCAAAGCACCAACCCTCCGCTCACAGCCGTCCTCCAATCCCAGAGGCTCGGCCCCGGGGACTACTTTACAGTCCGCGAGGAGCGCAGGAAGAAGGGGCTTTCGGGAAGTGTAGTTTAGAGCCGGCAGGAATGCACCGAAGGTGGGCGCCGGAGAGCCTCCGCAGGAACTACTCTTCCCAGAAAGGGCGGGGCCCTCCCGCCGAGCCTTTTCTGGCGAGTACGCGCTCACTCCCAGAGTGGTTCCGCTGTAGAGGTGACCTGACTCCCGGAGCCGGCCTTTGCAGGTGCAGAAGTCGACCTTGCAGTTCCCAATAATGGTGAGTGTGGGCTCCTGAATCCTGCAGCAGCTTGGGCCGCTCGGCCCCATCCTGTGCTTGGGGCACTTTAAACGAGCAGTAATGTCAGGGCTGTCCTTTGCGCGGTTTGCAAAACCCGACTCATCCTTCTGGACTGTCGCAGTAACCCAGTAATGGGGGAGGGTTCCCTTTCATCTGGGGGCTCTTAAAAGGGCTTCAGAGAATCCGTTGTCCTTGGAGAGACACATCTCAATCCTGACTCGTGGCTGAGGGCCAAAGATTTCTCCGAAGGACGTTAAAGGATTTGATGCGGGGGTGAGATTTGATGGGAGGGGAAGAATTAGATCCTAACCTCTATTTTGCCTTTTAAGCTCTTGGAAGGAATGGGCCTCCGAGGTTGAGGCAGTGCCCAAGGTGATCCCAGTTTTCAGGAGACATGTTTCCACCATAGCTAATTTCAAAGAAAACAGATGTTACTGGAAACCTATTCTTGATCTCCTTTTGTAATGCCAGGACCCATTAGCATCACTAGCCAAACAGTTAGTTCAGATGGTCTTTACTATTCTGTCATGAATTCCAGAAGACCTTCCAGCAGATGTAACGCAACCATCTTGCTGAGGCTCTAGATCGCTCTATCTTCCTATCTTGTCTCCAGCTGAAGGGGGAGGGGGAAGCGAGAGAGCTCTGACGTAGGAATAATCTGCGTACTCTTTGAAGGTGACATTTACCACCAGACTGGAAATTGCTACGGCACTTTAGAATTTATATTTTAAAAATACATTTTCTCCTTTAATCTCAAGATGGGGAGTGTGAGAAAATATTTGGATGAATTGGAAATTTTGCAGAACCGGAAAAGACATATTTTCAAGCAAGGACAAAAAAATTCCCTTAACCTCTATAAGAGACCTAAAGGGGAAAATTACTAATTCCTAGTAATTGTTGCCTAGATATTTGAGCACATAAGTAGTTATTTAAATTATGGCTTAAGCAGTTTCTGCCATAATAATTTTATTCATAAAACGGGGGTAGGTATCCAAGAACTTCAGACTTGAGGATTTTAGACGTAGATGAGAACCTTTTTTGAAAGTTATCTTAACCAAAACCCCACTTCAATACTAAAATGTAGTTTGTTGAGAGCCAGAATACAAGTTGTTCAAGGTCACAGGTTTGCACCTGAGGTCTCTTGCTCTCCCCATTTCCCTGGATTGGGTTGTGCATTTAACAAGTCGATTAGCTGACGTTCCCAGTTAGGAGAACCCACAACGCCAGCACTGGAACATCTGATGCTCCGTGCCTCATCACTCAGAGCGTTGGAAGTTTAAAGAGAATTTAGAGGTTGTTTCATCTTAAAACAGCCTGGGAAGGTCATCGATTTCCCAAGGTCAGGGAGATTCAGGGACCTGGTTATAGTGTTATGTTTGCTATACACTAGAAGGTCACATCTGTGCCAGATGACGTGAGATGATCCAGGTAGAGGAGTTCTGTCATGTTGGCACTCATGTGATTCAGAACTGTCTTGCCTCCTGAGAAGAGTATATGAGCAAATTACTGGTTTACAAAAGAGCTGTCAGTTTTCGGGGTTGTGCATGCCTTAAATTCCAGGGCTCTTGGAATGCAAAGACAGAGAAGAGCTCTATGATTTCAAAACCAGCCTGGGCTACATACCAAGTTCCAGGCTAGCCAGGGCTGCATAGGGAGAGCCTGTCTCACAAAGAATGAAAAGAGCAGTCTTTTTTAAAAAGCCAATTCAAAACCATTTTTAAAGGAACTCTTTGCCATTGTCCATAAGGGCGTCACCTCAGAATATCCAGAGGAATCTGGATGACACCTCTTGTGTTTTATATTGCAGAAACACATATAAACTAAAAAGTTAAAAAAGGAATGCTCTTCTGTGGGATAACAGAGGGAACGCTTGGATTCAAGCCTTTCAACTAAATAGCACATTCTTAAGACAGCCTGGATCTGCAGGAAGGTCATTAATGCCCTGCCAAGAGAAGCCATTGCTTTTTTGGATCTTGGCAGAATGCCCAGATATCTGAGCAGAGAATAGTAACCTGCATTGGCACTATTACATTATGAGAAGTCAGTGGGCCTTTCCTACCATCCTGCCTTTCAACCGCAGTAGTCACAAGAAAGCAGGAAGAACCAAACCGGTTTTTGTTTCCCTCACCTACTTCTTCATCAGACATTCAGATACTAGGTTGGCATGGAATTGCCAGATGCAGAAGGAAACTGCTGGAGTAGAATCAACTGTTGATGAGTTAACCACAGCCTCTTCACTACAGACTGACACTGGAGCCCATTACTCCCTCCTGAACTTTAACTAGACTTTCCAGAAGGTTAAACTTTGAGACGTGATTAGCGGTTTCCCTTCATTTTGTACTCTAGCTTGCTTTATAGTGTTCGAGCTGAAGTTGGGGGCTTTGGGCGGTGATAGTCTTCTGTTTTTGGATTGCAGGCATTTGCCACTGTGCCTGGATAGCAGTGTGGTTTTGGTTTGGTTTTGTCTTTTCTTTACACTTACACTTTAGTTTTACCCTTATGTTATTCATTCAGTAAATACATGTTGAAACCTGTATGAAGAGTGCAAATTTTAGTCAAAGGAAAACCACTCTTAGAGGAACAGCACACTCTAGCCAAGTGACAGACGTGTAAATATATAACTGCAGGCGAAAGCAGTTTCCAAGAACCCACACACTCAAATAAATAAAAGTAATGAAAATATTTAGAAGTTGTGACATAATTTTACTTATTACAGCTAAAATATGGCCTCAGTTTCCAGCCTTCTCAATACACACATATGTATAAAACATCTTCACTTTTCGAAAGCATTCAGTCTACTTCCAGCTGTGTTCACTTCAGTCTTTATGGTAGCAGTATTTAGGCAATCCAGCTATTGCTTAAGCAAGTACTTGAGTTCTAGCTGTGCAACTATTTTTATCTATAGTTGGGATATAGCAGTGAGTAGAATTCTGATTGTAGCAAAGTCTCCCCCAAAAAGCTTTTCTCTTCTCGTTTCTTAACTTCAAAAGGAGAGGTGACAAGATGAACTACATATACAGGATTAAAGGTTTGTCTGTAACAGTAAGGGTTTTTGGTGATAACATCTCAGAACACAAGTATTGTAGAGCTATGTATAACAGAAAGTAGCCATGTAAAATAGTGTGGTCTAGTCACACATACAGTTTATTTTAGAGATACGTTTTATTAAGTACATATTAATATGGATACATATTTTTATTAAAGTTAGCTTCTTTAGATATTAAATTTAATGTATCTAGAGATGTAGAAAAAAAGAGAAATTCAAGGATCAAGATTTTTCTCCATAGATTTCTGGGGTTTTATCTTTTGATTACATTTTTCTACCCTGATTCAGGGAATGTTTTTGAGAAAGAAATGCGAGTAAAACCTGCTGTGATCAGATTTATTTCTTTATAACAATACTTATTTACTGAATTTTCTTTTGCCATCTGTGGGTACCAAGCTACCGGTGCTGCTGATGTCAGGCCATCCATCTTTGCGTCTCAGACAGATGACTCACCTAGGAGAGGGAGTCTAAGTAAAAAGAAACAATGTTTCTGGCCCCTGGCAGTTTAGCGGAAGGAGGACTGGATGACAGAGTACAACACAGTGCTCAGCGTTGTCAAGGAAGGGAATGGTTTGTCTTGGTTCTGTTGTTCTAGATTTACCAAGCTTAATTTAGACTTTTTCCATTACTTAACCCTCATTTTGAATACAGTTGTTATTTTAGTCTGTGTGTTTTATTTTATTTAGCTTCTTAACTTGTAAAGCTGCTTCTTTCTGTTATATAACTATTGCATGTTTTTTCTTTTTTTAAAGAAAATTCCCTTGATTTGCATAATAAGGATTTGTGAGGACCTTCCGGCCTGCCAGGGTCTATATCACTACATAATATGCATATGACATTGTGGGCTTTTTTTTTTTTTTTTTTTGACAAAATGTCCCCCAAAGATGGACACATTTGCGTAAGAAAGTCCAGTTCTGCACTTTGTCGCCATATGCTGAGAGTGAAAGACGACTGGTCAGTACGCCACCTGAGGACATGTCTAAGTTGCTTAGTTCCTTAGTATATGCTGTCTTTGCTAAAAACAAGCGGTAAGCGAGTCAGGAAGGGACCTTAAGGTGTCGTGACTGCTTGGAAAGCATGCAGTGCCTTCTCAAGGTACACTGCAATAAGCTGTGACTGGGTCTTTCTCGTTACAGTCTGAACCAATCCGAGTTCTTGTGACTGGAGCAGCTGGTCAGATTGCATATTCGTTGTTGTACAGTATTGGAAATGGATCTGTCTTTGGTAAAGACCAGGTAAGGGCATGTCTACAAACCTTGGCACTGTAGTAAAAGAATGTTCTTGATAAGGTTCTGTGTTTAGTTGCAAACGTTGAAGGACTAGGCGGCCCCAATAAATGTAATAAGTCCTTTGCTCTCAGTAGAAGCCAGTGAGGCATTTCTAGGCTACCCTGTGGGCACTGAAATAACTATAGCCA